AGGAATGCCAGCACCCTTAGGTTGCACACAGACTACTTGGGATGTGTAACTAATTCATTCCTGGGCAGCTGAGTGGAATAAAAGAGCATTTTCTAGACTCTTCAGTGACTGCTTCACCACTTCACCTCTTAGTGTGTGTATCCACTTTGTTTTTCAAGGAATTTGACTGAGTCTCATTTGGGCAACTTGATGCACTAAAAAGATCAATCTTGGAATGGCACGTTGCCAGCATTTGCTTTCTGTCAAAATGCCCTTGACTGACATAAAATTAACTTCAGACCAGGGCAGATGGTAGAATCCAGAGACCCAGAGGATTATCCTGTGTTCTTTCAAGGGTTTCCATCCTGGTCTATCAGTCTTGATTCCCTGCTTTATTCTGGTTTCAGGGACGTTCACTGATACCCTGGCTATGTACACTGCTTGTTGTTCTGCAGTGTATCCATGTCCACACTTGGAGTGTGTTCAGCCTGTGTTGCGTGGCCAAGTCAGGAGCTGAGCCAAGGTTTCCAAACAATAGCAAAAGAGGGGTTTTTTTATTACTAAAAATAAAGCTCTAAATGCAACCCCTGGTTTTAAAGAGCATTAACATGTAAAGGTCACAGTGGAAAACTTTTGTTTTAATAGAGAAGTCCCCATTAATCCTCATGGCGTTTATCCTGAGGGATATAACCTAGAATGTTGGATTGTCAGACATTTAACACGTGCCACACGCTTGACACACCAGCAGAGTGACAGCAGGCGGACGTCCCACTGCCCCGACACACGCTCCTCATGCTGGGGGCCTGGCAAGATGATTTATTGGACAGGGCTGGATTAGAGGCTGCAGATGAAGTGCTGCTGTGTGGTGGATACAGCTCACTCAGAGCACTTGTGACCAGGTGGAAGGAGCTTGGCTGGGGAAGACGACCAACACGTTCTCCTGATCCAGAGGGGTCATGGGAGAAACTTAAGACAAGGGAGGGCATCAGCACACTTGCATTTCCATCAGCCTGGAGCTCTGACAGGCAGCGCAACAAACAGGCCAGTGCCTTTCCTTGGGATGTAATGCAGCAGCCCCCATCTTGGGGAATAAAATCCCTTTGTTTCCCACTGGCAGCATGTGGAGCAGCTCCCGGCTGCAGTAACTCGACACTGCCCTGCACACAGTTCACTTTCTGCAGGGGGGAGAGGAGGGGGAACTGGACAACTTAGCAACTGGCCTGTGCCACTGTGTGGGCCACTTGGGAAATGCTTGGAAAAGCACCCACTCCCAAAGCAGGGAGGAGCAAGGAGGCAAGCAGGAATCCAAGGAGACAGCAGGTCTGTGCTCCCGGTGCTTTCAGAAGTGATGTTGCAGTTCTGTTTGAGTCAAGTGTCTGTCCCTGTGGTACCTGCTCTGCCCTCCCTCAGGTCTCCGTGCGTCAGGGTCTGGGTGCTTGATGCTGCATCCCTGGCACAGGGAGATCTGGCTCAAGGGCCTGCCTGGTGTGTGTTACTGTCCTTTAGCTGTTCCCAGACAATAGCAGTGACTTCTTTTCAAGCAGGAGGTGATGACCTGTGTGTCTCTGACACCCGCGTGTGCTGAGTGTCTGCAGCTCCTTGGTGCCCTGCGTCAGGCTCGGCCTGGGGTCTGTGGCTGGGCAAAGGGCTTGTGAGCTTTGATTCCAGGTTACCCCCCTTCTCTAAGCCCATGGCTTCTGTCTTTCAGTGAGACCCAGAAGGGCAGCCCAAGGCAAGCAGAGCACAGCCATGTACTCCTTGAGGCAGGGGAGGCACCGAAGAAAGAAGCAGTCGCTGCACCCTGCCAGGGGACCCCGGCCGCAGGCTGCACCTGTCAACGGCGCTGACATTGATGAGCTGGTAAGAGCCAAATTGCTCCCTGGAGCCTGCTCACATCAGGAGTTATAAACCAAGCAGGTGTCACACTTCCTCCCCTTCCCAAAGAAATCATATTGTGAGACCCAGCTGGGCTGGGGATGGGTTAACAAAGGAGGCACATCCTGAAGGGCCTGGTACACAGAGCACAGATATGCCAGGCATCCTTCCCCAGCCGCTTTCACACATTGTCCCCCTTGAGTAGCAGGCAGCCTGCAGCTTGTTAAAGGGTTTTAAATAGTACCCATATGTCTCTGCAGAGAGGTGGGGGGACTGCGGGGGTCCTGGATGGTCAGAGAATGCCAGCAATGTTGGACCCTTGCTCCCCAGCCTTGGCCGTTTTCTGACAGTTGTCGTCCGTATGGTCACTCCCCAACCTCCAGGACATAATTTGGCTGCTTTAGGTTTCACTTGACATTTAAAGAATAAAACCTTATGCTCCTGAACAGAGCAATCTTGTGTGTGTGCGTGCATGCGAGGTAGGGTGGAGCTGCAGTGTGCTGTGCTGTTTGTCCTGGGAAAGACACACCACGGGATACGTGAGGATACTCCAGCCCCGTGGGCCATGTCACGGGCCCCTGCTAGATCTGCCAGCTGTCCACTGGCCAGCCTCAGCAGTGCTGCTGAATCCTGTCACTCTTGAGCAGGTCTTTGGGCTCGCTGCTTCTTGCACAAGGTGTGGGTGGGTGGTGGATCCACAGTGCCCTTTTAGCTGATTTGTGTTACAGGCTGGGGGAGCAACCAAAGCAGTGAACCCAACATGGGCTGCTATGGCCAGCTTAGAAGGATGTTCAAGTGGGGAAAAGCTTACTGGGTCACTGACAAATCACTGTCCTGGAGAAGACTCTGCTAGGGGCCTTCCATCTACTGGGAAGAGACTGAAGCTGACTCAGGACTAGTGCCCTGAGTTGTGGAGCCTTCCTGTCACCTGAGGTCCTCTAAGCAGCAGTGCCTGGGGAGCTGTGTGCTCGGAGCTGAGGGGATGTCCCTGTGCTGTGCCTGACCTTGTGTGCAGCCTGTGTGTGGGGCAGCAGTGCCTGAGGCATCAGCTGCTCTGTGGTATGGTGGGCTCTGCAGTGGCAGGACAGCACACAAGGGCTTTCTCCCTCTTTGTCTCCTGTGCTGTCTGCCAGGGGCTCAGAGAGGGAATTCACACTCTTCATTTGCTGTCGTTTATTCTTTGGCTGCTTGTTTTGACCTTGTTGTCTTTGAAACTATCTTGCTGCCCCTGCAGGAAAAGACAGGCTGCTTGTGAGCTATTCCCCCCAGAGCTTCTGGATGGGGCTCCTGTTCTGTAACTCAAGCTGCCTCTGCATGTGTTGGCTGTTACCATCAAAAGTCCTGCAGCAGAGCAGTTTTGCAGTTTGCCTCTTGATTTTGTGGAAGATGGCTGCATTTGAAAGACTTGAACTTTGTTCCTGCAGCAGTGCTACATATCCCTGCCGAGTGACACCCTCGCTCGTAAGCGAGAGGATTGAAAAGAGAAAAGCTCCGCTAAGAACCAGCTTCTTTGGCCTCAAAAGTGTTTGCTGAGCCCTAAAGCCCGTGGTGGTTCCCTCCTTTTAACAGCATCCTTTGTGTGGGCAGGTCCTTCAGACAAAGAAGACGGCACGTCGCCAAAGCCTCGAGTTGCAGAAGTGTGAGGAAATCCTCAGCAAGCTGATCAAGTACCGCTTTAGCTGGCCCTTCAGGTGAGGGCGCAGGACTGTCTGCAGGCAGGGTGCAGGTGTGGGTGGGCCAGGCCCCGGTCCTGCCAGAGCAGGCTTTCAGTAGCAAGTTGTGCTTGGGAGGAAAAGGGAGTGAAGCTGCTCCAGAAGAAACCACCACCCACTCGGTTCTGTGCTGGCCTGAAGGCGTGGGGCCTTCCCAGGTGGTGTGACAGAGGGTGCCAGGCTGCAGAGGGGAGCCTGGGGTGGCTGCTCGCTGCAGCTCCCAGGATTTTCAGGGTGCTCTGTGATGGAGAGAAGGTCCCTGCCGCGTGCTGGTCCTTCCTGCCAGGGAGGTGCTGGGGGGGCAGGTCGGGGCTGCTGCTGGAGCGAAGGGGGGGTTCTGGCTCCTCTGCCACCCTGCTCTGCCTGTGGCCATCATTTTCCTCCTGTCTTTGTGGCTCTTCGTTCGGCAGGGAGCCAGTGACCACGGAGGAAGCTGAAGATTACTTTGAGGTCATCAGCAACCCTATGGACTTCCAGACTATGCAGAGCAAGTGCTCTTGTGGCGATTACCGCTCGGTGCAGGAGTTCCTCTCCGACATCAAGCAGGTGTTCTCCAACGCCGAGTGCTACAACCAGAACGGGAGTCACGTACTGTCCTGCCTGGAGAAGACAGAACAATGTTTGATTGACATGGTGCACAAACACCTGCCTGGCCACACGTATGCACGCAGGAAACGCAGGAAGCTCTCTGCCAGGTGCCAGGGACTGGAGGAGCAGGAAGGGGACAGTGAGTCAGAGCCCCTTGAACATTCCCGGGGGCGGAAAAGGAAGAAATGAGGGACAGGGAGACTGGGGGAGAGCCAGAGCTGGAGCAGGCCGTCTGGTGCTGCAGGGCAGCTGGATGGGTTGTCTGGAGGGAGCTGGGAAGCAGCAGGCACTTCTCAATTAATCCAGCCTTCCCTTTGGCCCATCCTAGTTTTAATTTTTCTGCAATTTCCTCGAGTATTTGGTCATCCACTGAGTGAGCAGAGATGACTTCTTGCAAAAGCCTCAGAGCTCTGAACAAGTCTGTCCTGCTAGAATAGGAAGGTTGGAGGGCAAGGAAAAGGCCTGGCCAAAGCCTGGCTGGGCAGGGGAGCACAAAGCCTACTCCAGCTCAGGCACTGTTGGCTTCCTCAGGATGAGCCTCTTCCTCCCCTCTGCCAGGAGTATTTGGTCATCCACTGAGTGAGCAGAGATGACTTCTTGCAAAAGCCTCAGAGCTCTGAACAAGTCTGTCCTGCTAGAATAGGAAGGTTGGAGGGCAAGGAAAAGGCCTGGCCAAAGCCTGGCTGGGCAGGGGAGCACAAAGCCTACTCCAGCTCAGGCACTGTTGGCTTCCTCAGGATGAGCCTCTTCCTCCCCTCAGCGAGCAGCCAGCGCCGGAGCGTGGTGGGACCTGGCTGGCTGCTGCCTGTGATGTGAAACCAGCCTGGAGCTGGGGCAGGGAGGGATCATGTTGCTTTACGGAAGGACTGGGTATGATCAGACCAATGGGATGCTAGTTCTTGTATGTATATATTTATATGGTGTTAATTTGGAGCCCCCGATGAAGGGCTGCATAGGGTGAGCGAGCACTTACATTTATGGAGATCCAGCCTTCACCAGCATCCTAACACAATTGGCCTCGAGGTGCTCTTGCTTTTCCCTTCTCTTCTTGGGGAGCCATCTCTGGAGGTTGTGCTCCAACGAGGGTTCTTCTGAGCTCAGCTCTCCCCACATACACAGCAGAGGAGGCAGTTGGCTCCCCAGCCCCCCTCCAGCAGCACACCAACATGTAGCCCTTTGCATGAACCGAGTGCCACCAGCGTCCCAGAGAGCGTGGTTTTCTGCACGCCCTGCAGGGAGCTCCAGGGCAAGTGGAGCAGCAGAAACATGTTCTGTGTAACTTCTAACATAAATTTTCTAGTTAAAAGTGGCTTGTTTCTAGCTGTGATCTTGTACAAAGAACACCTGTAAGATACCGTTGTCTTGCTTTGGCACATGTACAGTTTATATGATATCATGTTTGCTTTGTATTTTCCCCCCCTCTTAAAAGTAATTTTCCTACCAGTAGCTGGAGTTACACCAGGGGACTTGTTAGGGGGTCTCCCAGTCCCTCTCTAGCCACGCTCTCACCACATTTCACAGTGATACCTTCCCTAGCTCACCTCCCCCAGCACAGTGAGGACCCACCAGCCCCATCCTGCTGGGAGGCTGCTCTGCCAAGGCTCAGCATGGGGTTCTGCCGCCCGAGATACTGACTTTTCTCTAAGAAAAGGGTAGGTTTTTTTCATCACCTCTTCCTCTCCTTCATGACAGGTTTTGATCATACAATCAGGGCTTGAACTTTTTATTATAGGAGTCTATAATTTGGAACAAACCAGCCACATGGCTGCTCTGTACTGGTTTTGTAAGAGAAAAGCAAAAGCAGCCGTTGCATTTTAGAAGGAAAGAATCATTGATTAAAAACTGTGGCCTAGTTTTGTGAACTTTTAGGGGTTTTCTTTTTCTAACAGGTATTCTTTTCAGTTCTGGACTGTTGATGGCTGCAGACTAGGCAGGTTTCCAGCCACTCCCCTCTTCCCCTCTCCCCAGCCTCAGCTCTGTGCCCCACAGAATAGCACTGACGTTTGTATTTCGCACGTCCCCTCCAGAGGCTTTGTTTTGTCCTGTTCATAAAGAGCATTTTCTGCAAGTCCTACACAGTGAAACCTTTGGAACTGTACGTTTTTAAAAAATAAATGTCATTTGGGAGGGAGGGGGTTTCTGCTAAGGGCTGTACTTGTAATAAATTGGAAACTTAAAAATAAACATTATGTACTTGTGTTTGTAAAAGCAGCTTGCAGTGAGTCCTTTGGGGGTGCCTTCTGTTGGTGTGGGACTGTCTGGGATGTCCCCCTCACCTCTGCCTTCCCCAGAGCTCCCATCAGACATCATATCACTGCCTTCTGGAGGAAAAATGGAGCCAGCCCTGTTTGTTGTCCCTCCCCCAGAGCTGAGGGATGGCGCTGTGCTTTTCCTGGCCAGCCAGGGGCTGGTCCCCGGGGTGTGGGAGCAGCCCTGAGGCTGGCTACCCTGTTGGGTCCCCTGTCTCCAGCTGCCAGTATGACACTTGTCCTCCTTCCACAGCATGCAGGGTGGCACTGGGTAGCTCTCCCAAAGGAAATACAAGATGGTGACAGGAGAGCTGAAATGCCTGCTCTTTCACCCCAGCCTTGCCTGCCTGGCCCTCAAAACTGCTGCCCTTGTCTTGTTTTTTGCGTGTTTTGCAGCTGCAGCATCATTGGCCGTGGCTGGGAGGGCAGCAAGGACTGTTCTGCTGTGTTTCTATGGGCACAACCCCCAGCCCACCATCCTGGTCTCCAGCAGCCTGCAGGACACGTGCTGGGCTCTGACACACTGGGCTCCAAAGGGGCCAGGGAGGTGAGCCAGCATCCATGTACAGCCTGGCATCTGAAACAAATGCCTTGGCTGAAGTTGTGCTGGTATTCCTGCCAGTGTTGCACTGCCGGGGTCAGTGGCTTCCCAAGTGTCTTCATCGTCCTTCTGGCTTAGGAGCTGAGCTCTAAACACTCCAGCCAGGTCTAGCTCTGCTGGGCAGAGGAAACCTGATGGGTTTGAGGGCTCAAAGGCTCTTGGTGATGGACAGATGCTGCTTTCCCCAGAGGAGCCTCATCCCTCACCACAAGAGGTGGTTTGACTTGCTGGACATGCCACAGGACCTGGGTGAATCAGAGTGTGACTCAAGCTGGGACATTTGCAGATCTCAGCATGGAGACCTCACACCAGCATCTGCTCCGAGACCTTTTCAGAGACCTGCTTTTTATAGCAGCCCCTGCATGGCATTAGTGTCCTGTGCAGGGGCTATAAATAGCTGTCCCCACGGCTGGCAGGCTGGCGGGCAGCCGTGGCCCTGCTGGCACCACGGGCTGGGGACGGGGCTGGCCTGTGTGCTCTGAAGGTCCAGCACAGCCACAGGAGGAGGCCATGGGGTGCAGAGGGTGAGCAGCCTTGAGCTTGATTCCCCTCTTGGCTTCCTCGTGGCTTTAGCATTCATATTAACCAATTAACAGTCTGAGTAAATTGGGACGTTCAGCACATTCCCAGAGCACTGTGACTTTCCTTCTGCTACTCAAAACCTGGAGTAAGCATCCTGCCTCCTGGGGGGCATGACATCTGGGACATCTGTCCCCCACTCCACCAGTGCCCGGGGAGGGGGAACACTGGGCTCAACTTCTCCAGCTTAGCTGGACCCAGATCTTGGGGGGGGATGTCCTGAGCCAGCCCTCACCTGGTGGCTCAGCCCCTGCAGTCACCCCTCCTGCTGGCAGTGGGCACAGCCCACCCTGGAGCAGTGCCCAGACCAGGGGGCTGCCTCACTGAGCCCTGCTGGCCCCTCGCAGAGGGACTTTTGCTGCTACCTCCACCCCTCTGGAGACGCGTGTTTGGTGGCCTTTTGTGCTGCTCCAAGTAGGACGTAGCGGGATGATCCTGGGGTGGGGGGATACGGCACAGGGTTGGGAGCACGAGTGTCCCTGGCACAGAGCCCTTCTGTGGGGCAGCTCTGTGGTGGGGCAGCTGAGCCAGCATCCATGTACAGCCTGGCATCTGAAACAAATGCCTTGGCTGAAGTTGTGCTGGTGTTCCTGCCAGTGTTGCACTGCCGGGGTCAGTGGCTTCCCAAGTGTCTTCATCGTCCTTCTGGCTTAGGAGCTGAGCTCTAAACACTCCAGCCAGGTCTAGCTCTGCTGGGCAGAGGAAACCTGATGGGTTTGAGGGCTCAAAGGCTCTTGGTGATGGACAGATGCTGCTTTCCCCAGAGGAGCCTCATCCCTCACCACAAGAGGTGGTTTGACTTGCTGGACATGCCACAGGACCTGGGTGAATCAGAGTGTGACTCAAGCTGGGACATTTGCAGATCTCAGCATGGAGACCTCACACCAGCATCTGCTCCGAGACCTTTTCAGAGACCTGCTTTTTATAGCAGCCCCTGCATGGCATTAGTGTCCTGTGCAGGGGCTATAAATAGCTGTCCCCACGGCTGGCAGGCTGGCGGGCAGCCGTGGCCCTGCTGGCACCACGGGCTGGGGACGGGGCTGGCCTGTGTGCTCTGAAGGTCCAGCACAGCCACAGGAGGAGGCCATGGGGTGCAGAGGGTGAGCAGCCTTGAGCTTGATTCCCCTCTTGGCTTCCTCGTGGCTTTAGCATTCATATTAACCAATTAACAGTCTGAGTAAATTGGGACGTTCAGCACATTCCCAGAGCACTGTGACTTTCCTTCTGCTACTCAAAACCTGGAGTAAGCATCCTGCCTCCTGGGGGGCATGACATCTGGGACATCTGTCCCCCACTCCACCAGTGCCCGGGGAGGGGGAACACTGGGCTCAACTTCTCCAGCTTAGCTGGACCCAGATCTTGGGGGGGGATGTCCTGAGCCAGCCCTCACCTGGTGGCTCAGCCCCTGCAGTCACCCCTCCTGCTGGCAGTGGGCACAGCCCACCCTGGAGCAGTGCCCAGACCAGGGGGCTGCCTCACTGAGCCCTGCTGGCCCCTCGCAGAGGGACTTTTGCTGCTACCTCCACCCCTCTGGAGACGCGTGTTTGGTGGCCTTTTGTGCTGCTCCAAGTAGGACGTAGCGGGATGATCCTGGGGTGGGGGGATACGGCACAGGGTTGGGAGCACGAGTGTCCCTGGCACAGAGCCCTTCTGTGGGGCAGCTCTGTGCTGGGGCAGCTCTGTGGTGGGGCAGCTGTGCCGTGGGGCAGCTGTGCCGGGGTGGGGGGATACGGCACAGGGTTGGGAGCACGAGTGTCCCTGGCACAGAGCCCTTCTGTGGGGCAGCTCTGTGGTGGGGCAGCTCTGTGGTGGGGCAGCTGTGCCGTGGGGCAGCTGTGCCGTGGGGCAGCTGTGCCGTGGGCTCTGTGCGCTCTGTGCCTCCAGCGGGGCCGATAACCGGGGGGTTCGGGCGCCGGCGGCCCCAGCGCCGCGATAGCGGGACCCGTTATCTGGGGGGCAGA